TATTATCATTATGGTCCCATTGTGCTTTCCTTGAGAAAGTTAAGATATATATTTATGTCTGCTGAGCACAAAACTAGTAGTAAGCCCTGAGTATGAGCTATTGTGCCTGAAAACTACATATATTTTTATATAGATAGATATTCACATTTTTCATCCTATTGATAATTAAAAATAAAGACAATATTAATTCCTAATATGGTATAAGTCTTATAAAAGAAAACATATAACCACATAATTGGAATAGTGATTGCAGTAAATACTATTAAAGATAACTTTAGCGATAGCACAGCAGTAGGGCGTTTGCCTTGCACGCAGCCAACGTGGCCGACCCGACTTCGATTCCTCCACCCCTCTCGGAGAGCCCGGCAAGCTACCGAGAGTATCTCGCCCGCATGGCAGAGCCTGGCAAGCTACCCGCGACGTATTCGATATGCCAAACACAGTAACAACAAAGTCTCCAATGGAGATGTTACTGGGCCCGCTCGAGGAAATCGATGAACAACGGTAGGGCCTTTACCTTTTACCTTTACCTTAATCACATGGAATTATGGTATAAAATATATATTGCTTGAGATTCAGAATTACCTTATGGAGAATACTAGGAGTTCCTCTTTGTCATGAATACCAGAAATTACCATAGAGTCTATACCAACAATATATGAGATTTTAAAATTGATTATAGGTGGAGTGAGTGAGTGCATGTATGTAAGCAATGTTCTTTATAGAAAAGAAATTAAGAAATGCACATTCCCGTAAAAATACACCACTAGTTTTCAATTGGCTAAAAATGCCTACTTCTCACTAATGATAAGCATATGTTAGTCTTTTATCATTTAAGTCTTACATAATTACTTTACTAAAAGCAAAATTATGACTACTTCCTGAAAGATGAAAAAGTTTTAAGCACATAGAAATTTTTTAAATTTTTAACTGACTTATCATTGTTTTATAATATTATAAAGTTTGTGGGGCTCAGCTTCACACCTCTTCTAAGCATACACTTGTCAGTGCTCCAATCACCAAACTTCCAGTACTCCCCACACCAAAGGAAACATAGTTTTTGTTATTTTTGCAATAAAAAGTCACTTTTAAAATGAGTAGTAGAAAAGCAAAAATATTCACTATGTAATTTTGATTCTTTTTCCCATTTGAACTGAAAAAAAAAATGATTACATTTCACTAAGGGAACTGATTGCCAAATCAGGCTGCTTTTCTCAGCAGGCTTCCAAATGCTAACACTAGCTCTCTCAGAACGCCTGCCTACTTCTTATAAAACTCCTTCCCTGAGTTGGCAAAATTCAAGCCTGAATGAACCACTCCTGGCTATGAGAGGCAAGGGGATTAAGTATCATTTATACAGCCTGGGCATCAAATAGTTAACCCATCAAGCAAAGGTTGCAGCCAGGCTTTTCCCTAGGGCCCTGAAGGCATCCATAGGCCTCCAGAAGTGCTGCAAAGCTTGTGTGGGAGGGACAGGAAGCAACCTTAGGGTCAGGTATGTCTGAGTAATGACCAAGAAGGTGAGGATCCTAACAGGGACTTCCTAACACATGAGGACCTATGACTAGCTCTTTCCATCCCCCACCCCACCCAGAACAAAACAGAAAAGGGGAAAAACAAGTGGACCAAAAGGAAGGAAAGATTTACCTTCCAGTTGTCCCTGTTTAGTAAAAGCAGAGTCTTCTAAATGTGTTAATTATTATTTTTACAACAGTAACAAATTGTTTTGTACTTGGTACTTGCATGGCTGCTGGAACAAATAACTGGCTAACTGGCTACATTATCCCCGTGTTCCTTCCTTCCACTCTTTCCTTGCATCCTCAGGTCACAGACAACTGGGATCTAATACCTTGTAAAAGCAGCCTTCGAGAGACATTTAAATATGCTTTATTCTAAAAATAAATGTAAATCAATTCTGTAGGACTATTCTTTCTTTGTATTGCAGACATAAGGTCTGAGTATACTCAAAATGTGCTCTCCGAAATAAAAATGCAAAACCAGCAGAAAACTTTATATCACAAGAAAAACATCAGTAGTGGAATGAAGAAAAATGTAAAAGTAAAACAAGAAACAAGTAGATGTTTTCCTAACCACTCCCAACTGGGAAACGCATACAGAAAGGCAGTATGATCCACAAAATAACATCACAAATTAATTCTGTAAATCATATTTACAATATGCATGCTATATTATACACACACACACACACACACACACACACACACACACCAACAAAGACAAATGCATATTACACATACATTGCCTCTCCCTTTAACCCCTTCTACCACCTTCCCAGTCCTTTGGGATAATTAACAGGAAATATCAGAACCTAGATTAACTCAATTAATCTTCATTCACTCCCCTGATGCCAGGTCAATCAACACACTTAAGAGAGCATGGGCATAATTAAAGCCTTTACTAACTGAAAATTTCCTTACAGTCACAGTCACATTTATCTATGGAAATTATTTGTCCACTACTTTTGTTTACTACAACACTTGTTTTGCTTCTCTGAAGCAAGATCTTTAAAATTCAAAGAAATTACCCCAAAACAAGAGTCTGTTGATACAGATTGTCTCAATTCCACTTACCACATTTCCGGTAGAATTTTGCCTAAACTATCAAAATAATTGTGGCCATTTGTGTTTTTAAACTTGAAATTAAATTATCATGCATCCTAATTCTATGCCTTCACCAATAACTTCCTTTCAAATGATAAATCTACTCCAAATATAATTTTCCAACACACAGAAAACCATGATTTTTTTCTTACCTTCAAACACTTAACAAAATGCTAATAATCACTAGAGTCCAAATAAATTAATACATATAGACAGGGAGCTAGACGACAGATCTTGGTAAATAAGTAAGTATATCTACAAAGATAGAGAAGATGAGAACATTTTCCTCCTCTGTTCGTAATATATACACCTTTGGGTGGGGGCAGGGGCACCCAGCTGTGCTCTGGGATCACTCCTGGCAATGCTCATATGTGGTGCCAGGGTTAAACCTGGGTCAGTTATATGCAAAGCAAACACATTGCCTGCTATACATATCTCTCTGGATTTATTTTAAATGTGCACATAATATATTATAAATAAAAATGTTATCCTTTTGTCTTTTTAGTGATGGAGTCTCATTTAGCTATTTAAATTAACTGCACAGTATCAAAAGATGTCATAAGACATTTTATTATAAAAGTATAATTTTTTAGCATATGGAATAAGCAAAACTATAAAGGAGAAATAAAAAATCCTTTTCATGAATAAAAATAACAAAAAAACCCTCATACAGCAGGTAGGGTATGTGGCTAACCTGGATTCTATCCCCAGCATCCATATGGTCCCTCAATCACTGCCAGTAGTAACTCCTGCGTGTAGAGCCAGAAATAACCCCTAAGCATCATTGGGTATATCCCCAAACCCCAAAACCACACAAAAAAACAACTCCTTGGAAAAATATGGTGGTAAATTTAATGTTTGCTTTCTGTTTCACTTTTTCATTGAATCCAATAACATGGGTAGAAATATTTGTAGTTATTAACATTCAATACTGAGAAAAAACAAATATTATTTACCTTTAAAATGGATCACAGTTACCATTACACAGTTAAAGAGGATGAAATCAGCTTAAGACTTTGGAGACAATATTTACATAAGGTATTAACTCTGTCAAAGCAATCTAATGTTTTTCAAAAGTGAAAAATAAAATTTCCATGTTTTTAATTTAAGACATTAACTTAAAAACACCACAAGAATCTGTTTCTTTTATAAAATTGCTAAATCTGTTCAGATTTCCCATTCCAATATTTACAGAACCAAGAATAGTTGAGTAACTCTTAAAGGATGTCATGCCAAGTAAAATAAATCAGGAGAATGATAAATATCAGATCGCCTTACTCACATGTAGAACAAAAGAAGTAAAGCAAGAGAGCAAACAAAATCAAGTGAAAATAAACCCCTGACCACTGACCACAACCAAACTGAAGTTACTGGATAGAGAGGTGAAAGGAGAGATAATAGGGAAATAATGTACAATGAACTGTGGTAGGTAAAATATTGATACTCTGGGACTAGCTGTGCTGTGATAAACTGTACTTTCAAGAGACATGACAACAGTATTACCTCCATTAAAAAAAAAGCTCTCTAAATATTTTTATTTGTAGAAAAACAATAAATAATTATTGAAAATATACTCCCCAAAACATAATGCAGTAATCATTTACTTTTTGTCTCCTTCAAAAAACCAAATATTTAAAGCCCTAACTTATTACAAATGTTTACCTATTTATTCTTTAATAATTACGTTAGGTCAAAATTCATCATCTGGTTTTTGGCTATTTGCATTGTGGGGAGAGTGTTGTTGTCACCCCATTAAAAAATAAAGTCCCTTGTCATTGATAATGAAAATCTGTATTCTTCATTTTTTTAACAGTTTCTGATAAAATGCTCTATTATACTGGGGTCAGAAAAGAGCTCAAACAAAATTAACAAAATTATAAAAAGCTTAAACATAGTATATCTGAACCAATTCTAGTTGACAATACAATTAACTTGAACAAAGTTCTTTTTTTTTTCATAAAATTAAAGATCTCATGTGTTTTATGGATCTGCAAGCAACTAAGCTCCCTTTTTAAAAATAAGTATGTTAAAGAGACTAGAAGGATTGAGAACAGTAAATCACAGCTCTAATGTGTTGTTTAAAAATGAAAGACCTAATAATCCTCCAAACTAGAGGTCTTTAGTTCATGAAGAATTGAGATTACTGCATTTTTAGTTGCGAGTTTATTTCATCATTTTACTTCAGCATATTAATGCCAAAAAATGTATAAATTTCAAATACATAATTGAAAACTCTTCTACACTACTAATACTTCTTGGTTTTCTTTACTGGAAACCATTTTTGCTAGAAACGTTTTTAATTCTGAAATTTAGCTATGAAAGCAGTTCAGAAAAAAGCAACGCTCTCCTATTATATATTTGATATAATCTATTGCTTACCTCAGTCAGGTGTGGGGTAGGGTTAAATCCACAGAGATTACACACTTGTTTCTTGCATTCAGTGCAAACATTGAAGTTAGGAGGATCCTTAGAACCTATATTGAGTTCAGTTTTGCAGAGAGGACAGAGAGATTCTGGTTTGGGGACTTTCTCAAGTTTGGATGCAGGGACAGCTTTTTGAGGCTCAGCCGTGGAAGGCTTAGCATCCTTAATAAGTGGAGGCTTCTTTTCTGTCTCTGTCTTTTTTACGGGTGGAACTCTTTCAGCTTTAGACTCTAACTTTTCAGCTCCTGGAGCTTTTGTTTCTTTTTTCACAGGTACAACATTTGCAGGAGCTGCGGGGGTCTGACCTGTAGGTTTGGGTGGCCCCTGAGAAGCTGGTGGCTGTGAAGGAGATGGAACCTGTTTGGTCGGGGCTCCCGGTCCACCTTGCGCATGTGAACTAGGCTGGCCTGCAGTGGAGATAAGATTTGACGCTTGACTAAAGATTGAAGCTCCAAACCCAAAGAGCTTCCCAGTCATACTTTCTGAAGGAGTCGTGGGCTGGGATTTCGGGGCATCTGTAATACTTCCCAGATTCAGACTAAAGCGTCTTGATTGCTCCTGGGGCTTCGGAGGTGGTTGAGATGCAGGGGCAGTTTGGCCAGTAGTGGGTCGTGGGCCTGGAGCTGCTGATGACCCTTTTGGCACTGGCTTGCCATCTGGCTTGGGACTCATTTTGGTTTGTGCTTTTTTAGGGTCTTCTCTCTTTTGAACTGGATCAACTTGCTTTTGACCTTTGCTCTCTGAGCTAGGTGCAGGCTGTGAAACAATTTTTGAATCTGACGCAGGTCGTGGTATGATTGTAGAATCCACTGGGGTAACTTTCTCTCCTGTTGGTGGAAAACTTTGAGAAGGCTTTGCAGAATCTGTTTTGAGAGGGAAAGTAGTTTTCTCTTGGTCCTGTGGCTGTATTTTTGAACTTGGAACGTCAGGTTTTGTGGTTGTTGAGGATGATGACACAACATCTGTTGATGGTTTTACCATCTTAGGCAGCTTTGGTTTGTCATCAACTGGGGGGCCTTTGGCCTGCTCAGATGGTCCAGGAGGCTCTTTGGATGGAGTGGTCTTGGATGAGGCGTCAGCTACTGGAGGTTGCTTGGCTGTGACGGGAGGAGAACCATGAAGAGTGGGTTGTTTCACCAGTGGAGGGGGCTTTTTAGATTCAGGCGCCTTTGGGATATCCTGTTTGGGTGCAACATCCTTCTTTGGAGAAATCTGCTGTGACTGTGTGGATGGTTTACTCACTGCTGCTGTAGGAACAGCAGAGGCAGTCTTCGGTTTAGGCTGTGGTGATGATGGAATTGGAGTCAGCTCACCTCCTAAAGCCCTTTGCATCTGACAGTTTAAACAGAGCCACTCTTTTATCTAGGAATAAGATGAAACAATAACCACAGATATAATAACACCGAAAAAAAGAAAAATATGACAGGATGACATTTGAAACTGTCTCATTATTTTAAATGTAAAATATAGATAAAATTATTTTAATATGCGACAGAGATTCATTAATTCGTATATATTAAATATAATTGAAATGTATTAAATATTATATTAAAATGTAATAACCTCAAAAGTAAGTCATTATTTTATTTTAAAGAAAATATAAAAATCAACAGAGTCCTATTTTTATTCCAATGTTAATGTATTTTTAACTTATACAACTGATCACTCCCAGAAAAATAACATTGCATAACAAACAAAATCATTAGTTTTAACTATTAGATTCATTTCTGTAAGAAAATTTATGCTAAAAATTCCTATATTGAAGGCTCACAAAGTTTTCAGTTATACAACCAGTTTGTGCTTGTCAAATTTATCAACACATTGCTAATTTCTTAAATTAGCAGAAGACTATCTAAGGCAACATAATTAAATATGTGAAAACAAAAATGGTAACCAAGTTGGCTAGAAAGAGATCAATATGTTAATAAAATAAAGTAAAAATAACGTCATTCCCTCAAATTATCATAAATACTGTGATCTAACATACAAAATAATGCTTCCTTCAAAGTGTTATTAATATACTTGGAAGAATATAAACGAGCAAAGTTTGTATCTGACTGGCAATGTCTGATATATGTATGACATACAAATGTAAAGACTTACAAACATCTACTCTTCAAATTTTCACTGTGAAAAGATGTTGAATTCGATAACATGTTTAAAAGAGAATTAAAAAGTTTTTATGTGTAACACAGATCTTCCTTTTTTAAAATTTCATTTTTTTTCAGGTCCACTTCTCAGGGCTTACTCCTCACTCCTAGCTGGGCTCAGGACCATATGGAGTGTCAGAAAACAAACCCAAGTCACTCACATGCAAGACAAATGCCCTACTCACTGTAATATCACCTCAGCATCTATCTTTATTTTCTTATTCAGATGTAACATATGCCATTACACAAAATTTTAAGTTTTACCTACATACTCTAGCATCTCAAATTCTATATAATTAAATCTTCTCTACCAATCAATCTACAAATCAATCATTACCAGTTTGCCACTGATTTCTCTGTACAGCATTCTACCACATGGAGAAACTAATAAAGAGAGCATAGAAACTGTGAAATGTTAGGCTAGCAAAAATTCTCTTTATTCACAAACAATTTCATTTTGAGAAGAATGTGAATTATTAGTAATATATAAATGCTTCATGTAAGGATATCTGTCATTTGACAGCTTCCATTTGTGGATTTTTTTGAAGGTATTTTTTGAAGAAAAAAAGGAATAGCTGGGTCACACCCAGCTGTGCTCAGAGATTTCTCTTGGTTCTTTGCTCAGGATCACTCATACAGTGCTCAGTAAATGATATGTGAAACCAAACTGGAATTGGTCACATACAAAGCAAGTGTCTTATACCCTGTACTCTCTTGAGTATTAATTTTTTAAAAATATTTATTTATTTATTTATTGCTTTTTGGGTCACACCTGGCGATGCACAGGGGTTACTCCTGGCTCTGTACTCAGGAGTTACTCCTGGCAGTGCTCAGGGGCGGTGCTCATATGGGATGCTGGGAATCGAACCCAGGTGGGCCACATGCAGGGCAAACGCCCTACCCGCTGTGCTATCTCTCCAGACCCCGAGTATTAATATTTTTAATTAAAAAATACTGACTCATTTTTTTAATCACCAAAAGATTTAAACTAAGAAAGCACACTGAAATATTAAAACTCATTCACTGTCTACTAAGGATTATTTTGCATCTCATAAAATGAAAACTTTTGAAGAATGTTTAAAGAACTTAACAAGTTCCACTGAAGTGCCATATTTTTTAAAAGATTTAAACCATAAAGCCAAAGTTCAATTTTGTCAAATATAGGTAGCAGCCGCAACCGCCCCCAGGCAGGGGCCCCTCCAGCAGCTCCAGCCACTTCCGCAGGGAGCGCCTGTCCATGTAATCGCAGAGCCCCCCCAACAGGTCTGTGGACTAGCATCTACACTGGCTGGGGGCGTGGACATTACTGTAGGGGTGTGGTCTCCATTGCAAGTGGGCGTGGCCTTCTCGGGGCAGGCAGCCGCTAACACTGTGGCAGTTATATTTCCCACCTTCAGCACTCTGGACCCTCACCCCAGCCCTTGCCATCTAATTCTGCGGGGAAAAATTCCGGCCACCTACACTACAATACAATAATAATCCACTGGTCTACTCCAATTCTAACAAAAGACCAATACGCAATTGAAGCAGTATAAACCCAATGCTAAAAGAACACCTCCTACAAACCTTCACTAGATGTCCATCATAGGCCAGAGAAAAAAATGCCAGAAAAGATGCTCAGACCCAAGAAAGAGAGAAGGGTGTCCTCCATTGACCTGCCTTATCCAGAATCCTTTCCCACAATAAGAGTGAACAGCACCAGTGAATTCCAGGGTTTTACCACTAGACAAACAAAACAACATGAAGAAACAATGCAAATCTCCACTACAAGGTGAAGACGAAGAATAGATTCCTGAACCCTCAACCAGGGTCAGCTATAAATATGCTCTCTCCGATAAAGAACTCCAGGATGAAATGCAGAGGATGTTCAAAGACCTACTCAAAGAATCAATGGAAAAGATACCCAGAAAACTAAAAGAAGAAATGAAAGAAACAATAGAAAGGTTAGTCAAGAAAATACACGAAGAAACGAGAGCAGAAATAAAAAAGCTACAAAAAGAAGTGTCACAAATAAAGTATTCTGTAGATGAAATTAAAAACTCAGTAGGTGCCCTGAAGAGTAGGATCAGAGAGCTTGAAGATGAGCAACAGAGATCGCATAGGGAACAACAAATGATGGGAAAAGACCTCAAAATAGCTCTAAGGAGAATAAGAGACCTAGGGGATGACGCCAAGAGGAACAACATTATAATCATCGGAGTACCAGAAGGGCAGGGAGGCAACCCCAATGAAAAAGCCACAGTCAAAGAAATCATTGCTGAAAAGTTCCCAGAGTTAAAGAATGCAGACAGACAGATCCAAGGAGCCAGAAGGGTGTCAGCAAAGAGACCCTAATAAAAACACTCCAAGGCATATCATAGTCAGAACGATGGATGCCATGGACAGAGACACAATACTACAAGCAGCAAGGTCAAAGAAGGAAATCACATTCAAAGGAGCACCCCTTAGATTTACAGCAGACCTATCAGAGGAAACCCTCCAAGCCCAAAGGCAATGGTGGGATATAGTGAAAAAACTCAATGAAATGAATGCCTCACCAAGAATACTTTATCCAGCTAAACTCTCACTCAAATTTAATGGAACCATACACCATATTGTAAATAAAAACCAGCTCAGGAGCTTCATAGACTCAAAACCAAAACTAAAAGAAAGGTTAAAGGGGATCCTGTAGGATAAGAAGGAAAACACTTAGAAACACAACCAACCCCTACAGAAACATGGCACAAAATTTCATGACAATAATCTCTCTTAATATCAACGGCCTAAATGCACCAATCAAGAGACACAGAGTGGCAAAATGGATCCAGAAACAGAAACCAACATTCTGCTGTCTACAAGAAACTCATCTGAACAATCAGAGCAAAAAAAGACTCAAAGTAAAAGGGTGGAAAACAATCCTGCAAGCAAACAAAGCCCTCAAAAAAGCTGGAGTGGCCATACTAGTATCCGACAACATTAACTTCACGTTGAAAAAGATTAGAAGGGACAGCGAAGGCCACTTTCTCTTCATCAAGGGATACATACAACAGGAAGAAATCACACTCTTAAATGTATACGCACCTAACGAGGGAACAGCTAAATATTTAAAACAACTGCTAACAGATATTAAGGAGGACATTCCAAGCAACACAATAGTAGCTGGAGACTTCAAAATCACCCTATCACCTCTGGATAGATCAACAAGAACAAAACTCAGCAAGGAAACACTGGCATTGAAAGAAAAAATAGAAGAGAAAGAACTTATAGAACTGTACAGGGATTTACACTCAAAAAAGAAAGAATACACATTCTTCTCCAGTGTGCATGAATAGACCATGTGCTAGGCCACAAAACGTACCTCAGTAGAATCAGGAAGATAGAAATACTACCAAAAATCTTTTCAAACCACGATGCACTGAGAATAGAAATGAATCACACACAGACATGGAGAACCAAATCAAACACCTGGAAATTAAACAACTCAATGCTGGGCAATGAATGGATCAGGAAGGAAGTCGAGGAGGAAATCAAAAGATACATGGAAACAAATGAGAATGAAGACACAAGCTACCAGAACTTATGGGATGCAGCAAAAGCCGTATTAAGGAGAAAATTTATAGCTCTGCAAGCATATCTCAAGACAGAAGAAAGTATGCACATAAACAACTTGACTTCACAGCTCAAGACCTTAGAAAAGGATCAGAAGAAGGAGCCCAAAGTAGGGAGAAGGAAAGAGATAATAAAACTTAGAGTAGAAATCAACGACATGGAAACCAAAGAAACAATCCGAAATATCGATGAAACTAAGAGTTGGTTCTTATAGACGATTCTCAAAAAATTAGAAATTGAGCTCCCATTTGACCCAGCAATACCACTCCTGGGAATATATCCCAGAGAGGCAAAAATGTATAGTCGAAGTGACATCTGCACTTGTTTGTTCATTGCAGCACTCTTTACAATAGCCAGAAACTTGAAGAAACCTGAATGCCCAAGAACAGATGACTGGTTAAAGAAACTTTGGTACATCTACACAATGGAGTACTATGTAGCTCTTAGAAAAGATGAAGTCATGAACTTTACATACAAGTGGTACAATATGGAAAGTATCATGCTAAGCGAAATGAGTCAGAAAGAGAGGGATAGACACAGAAAGACTGCATTCATCTGGGGGATATAAAGTAACAAAGTATGAGATTAATACCCAAGAATAGCTGAGATCAGCACCAGGAGGAT